GTGCTCCCTGACAGGAGGAGGACATCTGAAGAGGTAAGACCTTAAAAAAATCTTGTATTTAAGGCTGCAATATGCGGATATTGATTTAGTTCTGTGAATGCTGTGTTCAGTTGTTTAGTTTCGTTTATCATGAGGCGTCTATAGTACCTAATCAGAAGAACATTGCTCAAACCACATTCGACCATTGTGTAAGTCTGATTACAGGGGGTGCTTATTGTTGAGATGTCACCTCTTTAGTCTGACTACATCGAGAGATTTGGGATTTGCCGGGTTGTGCTCGTTACTTCCATACAGAGAGATTCAGCTATGCAATGTTGTAAATGTAAAGGTGTTTTCTCTTCGCTGTGGGGACACGAGTCACATTGGTCTCTAGTTTGCTCCAGAAATCACTTAATAATTGGTTGTCATTTTCAAGTTCGTGCAAGCAGATAAATACCAAACAGTTAAAAAAAGATACATCTTGTCCTGAATGTGACCAACGTCAACGATTCAGAATGCTTTTGCTCTACTCTCCCCAACGAACACAGCAAGTATAATTTTTTACACTTAATTTGAATCGTGTATCTGTAATATTTTTTAAAAATTCTATTCAAATTAGTCCACATAAGAAAATGTAATTTTGACATGGCTGGTGTTTGCGTTGATTTGTGGAAACGGTTTGCATGAGGCTGAACTGCTATGGACAGGATACAACCCTTGGTTCGAAGCGTGACTCGTAGTGACGGAACGAATTTGCTTTCAGTGCTGGTGCAGAAGTGTAATTTTTGTTAAAAAACGGAGAAAAAATATGCAATTCATTAATTTCCATTATTAAACTGGTCTTAATCAATTCCAAGAGTCTCCCACGTAATTATTGAAGGCTGACAAACTCAGTTCTTCTAAAGACAGTTGATGCATATTTTTGGTTGAAGCAAAAAGTGGACACATGAACCATGCGTTTAAATATTGAACTATAACGGCTCCGTGGGGTCGTTTTTCTTTAAATAAGAGGAATTTAGAATCCGTGTACTTCTCCAATAACCTCTGGGTGTCAGTATTACATTAAGAAACTGTAGGACACGTTGTCCATCCCCTCACAAACCTTTTGTTTGCCACTGAAAGAAATAGAAGACGCATTCGAATCGAGCTCACCACCGGACTGATTCGTGTTTTGCAATTTATAAATATGCGACACATACGGACTTCATAGCCGAGACACTGTGTTTTGATGTGTTGTTGGATAACGATGGGGACCGAAAGGCAAATTCGACGAAGGAATTGCTTCTGGTTTGCTCTTCATTTGGCTTTACTGTTTGTCGGAAAACGGGCTTCGGCAGAAGTAAGATACTCTGTTGCAGAAGAGGTGAAAGATGGAACTGTTGTAGGAAATGTTGCGAAGGATCTTGGCCTTGACATCGCCTCTTTGACTGGTCGACG